GGGCCCCCCCCCCCCGTCAGGATGCAGACCCCACGGAGCGTCGGGGGCTGGGGGGCAAGGCTGCACAGTTTTCACTGGCTCTCCCCCGGGATGGGACGCCCCCCACGTTTAGATCAGAAGGACGTTGAGAAGCCTGCGGGGAGGGTTTAAGGCATCCTTAAGCGTAATGGGTCTGGAAGGCCCCACCTGCAAAACGTCAGAGGAGAAGTCAGGTGGCTGGAAGGCTGCCCACCCACCTGTGGCTGCTGAGGCCGGGCGTCCTCGTGCGGGCCATCAGGGATGGCGGAGGCCACCACCTGGGGAGAGACAGCAAGGGGCCGGCTGAGGCAGGGGTGCCCAGCCCTCGCTGCCCATTCTGAACCCCAAAGTCTCCCATCTTCGCGGGGGGCGCTGCCCAAGCCTGGCCCAGAGACGTTGGACCACTGTGGTGGCGGCAGGGGGGTGGGAAAAATATGTTTGAGGAAGGAAAACACCTGTGCTGATCATTTTAACTTATTTTTCGTACGACCTTTAAAACATTCCTGTTTCTTAGAAGCAGTCATCTCCTGTGATAACAGGACTCCAAGTTGATGGATTAATGCAGCTCAGAGCCCCCTCCTCCACGCAGCCCTTCAGCAAAGACGCACGGCACCTAGCCCTCGGGTGACCGGGGGTGTCAGGCCTGGCTGAGGGCCACCAGCTGGAAAGCAGAGTGCATCTTCCTTTGTGCACAGGGAGCCTCCTTTCCCGCCTTTGGGGCGAGCTGCTCCCTGTCATCCTGTGACTTTGCTGCCCTGCCCTGACCCAGGGTGGGCAGAGGGAGCCCAGGCCAGCCTGCCTCGGGCCTCCCCAGGGTCTTACTCTCTGAGGCAGAGATGCAGGGAGGACACAGAAACACAAAACCCAGGAGATGCTGAGGCCAGAAGAGCGAGTGGAGGGCAGAGGTAGGCAGGTCCGGCACCACCTTGGGGGTCCTCAGCAGCTTCTGGTGGGCTCCACCGCCAGGTTCCAAGACCCAGATCTGTGAGCCCCATTTGGAGACACTGCTGCCCAGCCCGGGAGCCTTGTGTCCTCTGTCCACCCACCAAGGCCTTGATGACCCCAAGTGTCCTTGTGAACTCAGCCTGGAAGCTCAGGACACGGTGTGAGCTCAGCAGGCGCCTGGCTGCCCACCGCTCTGCGGCCTGCTGGGTGCTGCTGGCCCCTGAGCCCCTGGGGCCTGAGACGCGAGAAGCTACCCCTCCCTTACCTTGGCCTTGCCCAGGAAATCCACGGGCTCCAGGTGCTCCAGGTGCCACCTGTGCGGCCGGAAGACCTCACCCCTGGGGACCTGCCGAGGCTGCAGGGGGGCCTGTTTCTGGAGGGGGGTCCGGACAATGCAGACCTGAGCACTGGGCCAGGCCTGAGGCTGCAGGAGCCTCAAAGCAGAAGGGACGGCTTGGCCCTGTCACCTACTTCCCATAGTCCATGGGAAGCCCAGCCCACACCTGGGCACACAGGCCACCTCCCTCCAGAAGTTTCTTCAGCTCATATAGTCAGTCTTGGGGGTGGGACAGATGTGAGCCCCAAACTGCAGACTATGGGCTGGGCAAGCCACCTGAGTCAGCTTAGGAGTCTGGCTCTGCTCACCTGCCCTCACCTGCCCCCTCACCTGCCCCTCACCTGCCCCTCACCTGCCCCCCACCTGCCCGCTCACCTCCC